GGCACAATGATATTGACACCAGGGGGGCACAATGATATTGACACCAGGGGGGCACAATGATATTGACACCAGGGGGGCACAATGATATTGACACCAGGGGGGCACAATGATATTGACACCAGGGGGGCACAATGATATTGACACCAGGGGGGCACAATGATATTGACACCAGGGGGGCACAATGATATTGACACCAGGGGGGCACAATGATATTGACACCAGGGGGGCACAATGATATTGACACCAGGGGGGCACAATGATATTGACACCAGGGGGGCACAATGATATTGACACCAGGGGGGCACAATGATATTGACACCAGGGGGGCACAATGATATTGACACCAGGGGGGCACAATGATATTGACACCAGGGGGGCACAATGATATTGACACCAGGGGGGCACAATGATATTGACACCAGGGGGGCACAATGATATTGACACCAGGGGGGCACAATGATATTGACACCAGGGGGGCACAATGATATTGACACCAGGGGGGCACAATGATATTGACACCAGGGGGGCACAATGATATTGACACCAGGGGGGCACAATGATATTGACACCAGGGGGGCACAATGATATTGACACCAGGGGGGCACAATGATATTGACACCAGGGGGGCACAATGATATTGACACCAGGGGGGCACAATGATATTGACACCAGGGGGGCACAATGATATTGACACCAGGGGGGCACAATGATATTGACACCAGGGGGGCACAATGATATTGACACCAGGGGGGCACAATGATATTGACACCAGGGGGGCACAATGATATTGACACCAGGGGGGCACAATGATATTGACACCAGGGGGGCACAATGATATTGACACCAGGGGGGCACAATGATATTGACACCAGGGGGGCACAATGATATTGACACCAGGGGGGCACAATGATATTGACACCAGGGGGGCACAATGATATTGACACCAGGGGGGCACAATGATATTGACACCAGGGGGGCACAATGATATTGACACCAGGGGGGCACAATGATATTGACACCAGGGGGGCACAATGATATTGACACCAGGGGGGCACAATGATATTGACACCAGGGGGGCACAATGATATTGACACCAGGGGGGCACAATGATATTGACACCAGGGGGGCACAATGATATTGACACCAGGGGGGCACAATGATATTGACACCAGGGGGGCACAATGATATTGACACCAGGGGGGCACAATGATATTGACACCAGGGGGGCACAATGATATTGACACCAGGGGGGCACAATGATATTGACACCAGGGGGGCACAATGATATTGACACCAGGGGGGCACAATGATATTGACACCAGGGGGGCACAATGATATTGACACCAGGGGGGCACAATGATATTGACACCAGGGGGGCACAATGATATTGACACCAGGGGGGCACAATGATATTGACACCAGGGGGGCACAATGATATTGACACCAGGGGGGCACAATGATATTGACACCAGGGGGGCACAATGATATTGACACCAGGGGGGCACAATGATATTGACACCAGGGGGGCACAATGATATTGACACCAGGGGGGCACAATGATATTGACACCAGGGGGGCACAATGATATTGACACCAGGGGGGCACAATGATATTGACACCAGGGGGGCACAATGATATTGACACCAGGGGGGCACAATGATATTGACACCAGGGGGGCACAATGATATTGACACCAGGGGGGCACAATGATATTGACACCAGGGGGGCACAATGATATTGACACCAGGGGGGCACAATGATATTGACACCAGGGGGGCACAATGATATTGACACCAGGGGGGCACAATGATATTGACACCAGGGGGGCACAATGATATTGACACCAGGGGGGCACAATGATATTGACACCAGGGGGGCACAATGATATTGACACCAGGGGGGCACAATGATATTGACACCAGGGGGGCACAATGATATTGACACCAGGGGGGCACAATGATATTGACACCAGGGGGGCACAATGATATTGACACCAGGGGGGCACAATGATATTGACACCAGGGGGGCACAATGATATTGACACCAGGGGGGCACAATGATATTGACACCAGGGGGGCACAATGATATTGACACCAGGGGGGCACAATGATATTGACACCAGGGGGGCACAATGATATTGACACCAGGGGGGCACAATGATATTGACACCAGGGGGGCACAATGATATTGACACCAGGGGGGCACAATGATATTGACACCAGGGGGGCACAATGATATTGACACCAGGGGGGCACAATGATATTGACACCAAGGGCACACAATGATATTGACACCAGGGGGACACAATAATATTGTCACCAGGGACCACAATAATAATGTCACCAGGGTGACACAATAATAATGACACCAGGGGGTCACAAGGGGGGGACAATAATAATGACACAAAGCGGACACAATATTAATGATATCAGGGGGGCACAATATTGACACCAGGTTTACACGATAATGATACCAGGGGGACACGATAATAATGACACCAGGGGACACACAATAATAATGACGCCAGGGGATACAATGATATTGACACTAGGGGGACATAATAATAGTGATACCAGGGGACATAATAATGATACCAGGGGGACACAATAATAATGACACCAGGGGGACACAATAATAATGACACCAGGGGGACACAATAATGACACCAGGGGGATACAATAATAATGACACCGGGGGACACAATAAATAATGACATCACGGGGACACCAGGGGACACGATAATAATGACACCAGGGGGGACACGATAATAATGACACCAGGGGGGACACGATAATAATGACACCAGGGGGGACACGATAATAATGACACCAGGGGGGACACAATAATAATGACACCAGGGGGGACACAATAATAATGACACCAGGGGGACACCAGGAGACACAATAATAATGACACCGGGGTGACATAATGATAATGACACCGGGGTGACACAATAATAATGACGCCAGGGGGGACACAATAATAATGACGCCAGGGGGGACACAATAATAATGACACCAGCGGGGACACAATGATAATGACACCGTGGTGACACAATGATAATGACACCAGGGTGACACAATGATAATGACACCAGTGGGACACTAATAATGACACCAGGGGGACACAATAATAATGACACCAGGGGGGACACAATAATGATACCAGGTTTACACTATAATAATGACACAAGGGGGACACAATAATAATGACACCAGGGGGGACACAATAATGATACCAGGTTTACACTATAATAATGACACCAGGGTGGACACGGTGATATTGACACCAGGGGGGACACAATACTAATGACACCGGGGGGACACAATACTAATGACACCAGGGGACACAATACTAATGACCCCAGGGGGGACACAATACTAATGACAAAGGTGGGGGGACACAATAATAATGATACCAAGTGGACACAATATTAATGACACCAGGTTTACACGATAATCATGACACCAGGGGTGACCCAATAATAGTTGCACCAGCGGCGACCTAATAATAATGACACCAGGGGACACAATAATAATGACACTGGGGGACACAATAATAATGACACCAGGGGGGACACAAAAATGACACCACGGGAGATAATATGATGAAACCAGGGGACATGCTCATGTGCCATTATTATTACTTTTATTATAATTTTGTCCCCTGGTGTAATTATTATTTTAAAAAAATAATGACACCAGGGGACATGCTAAGGTGTCATAATGCTGTTTAAAAATATTTCCCCCCATCTTCCTTCTTCCCCCCATCTTCCTTCTTCCCCCCATCTTCCTTCTCCCCCCATCTTCCTTCCCCCCAGATAGAGGCCCAACCCAGCAGCCATGCAGACTCACCGTGGACAGGGGAAGGATGAGGCAGCCATGGAGGGAGGAGGTTGTTACCGTGCAGCAGAGTGTGCAAAAGCAATCCTTCCTCCTCTGCTGGAGGTGACATCCCAGGCTGCAGAAATTGTTGATGCACGTAGGGACAGAAGGCTGCTGTCCTCTAGCATAAGGATGGGGGAAGTGCAGCAGAGGTAGCTGGTCTAGAAACTGCTTCAGCGCTAGTTTATGGGGTATAGGGCCCCACAACAATGACTGGGCCGGGGGCATCTGCCCCTTTTGCCCCACCTTAAAGACGGCCCTGAGCCTAAGTCTTCCAAGCCCGCCGGCAGGCCCCCATCTCTGGATCCCAGGGTGGGGGGTCGTCTTCTGCTCTTTGCAGATATTTGGTTGGCTCGTGTCTCCGACACCTGGGTGCGAGAGCTGGTTTCTTCGGGCTACAAGTTTGAATTTCTGTTTTGCTCCTGGAGACAGGTTTTTCCCTTCCAACACGAGACTCTCCCCTCAACGACTGGCGGATCTTCACCATATGGTGGCTGACCTCTTATCTCAGGGGTTGATCTTTCTGGTGCCCTCCTCGGAGAGGTTCAAAGGGTTCTATTGAAACCTATTTACCGTGCCCAAGAAAGAGGGGGTTCGACCCATCCTAGACATCAAACGGTTGAATACCTTTGTACGGGTTGGCAGGTTTCGGATGGAGTTGATCAGGTCCGTGGTGGCGTGTCCATCAGGTGCATCTGCTGGCCTCCACCGACATCAGGGATGCCTACCTTCATGTCCCCATTTGTCTCATCAGCATTATCTTTGTTTCGCGGTGGGGAGGAGCAATTCCAGTTTGTGGCGCTGCCTATCGCTCTGGCGTCGGCCCCTTGAGTGTTCACCAAGGTGTTGACCCCGATTCTAGCGTTGTTACACTGCCGGGGAGTCTCGATTTTGGGGTACCTGGACAACCTTGTCCTGAAGGCAGAGTCACACTTTTCTCTGGTGGCGGATCTGTCGGTCACCGTACAATCCTTGAAGGAGTTTGGATGTTTATATTTTATAAATGTCGCTCTCTTGTCCTTGACGTGTTGTTTTACAGTTTTATTAAACCATATTGGTTTAGTCTTTGATCTTTTATTTTTGCTCCCTAAAGGGATCATTATTGTGAACTTCAAGAAGTCTTGTTTTGTGCCGTCCCCATGTCTGGAGTATCTTGGCCTGATTCTGGACACTGTTTTGTGCCAGGTTTTTCTCCCTCAGGAAAAACTGTTGAAACTCCGCTCCCACTTGAGGTTGTTGTGGTCTCGCCGGTGGTCGCCCATATGCTTTAACATGCAGGGATCAGGGTCTCATGGTTGCCTCCCTTGAGGCGGTGCCTTATGTGCAGCACCACACCAAGACTCTGCAGAGGGACATCTTGTTGCAATGCGACAAGTTCCTCTTGTGTTTGGACAGGGGAGTTTGGGTGGTGTCTCGAGTGGCGAGAGTTTCCCTAATATGGTGGCTTCAATCTCCGGCTCTGTTATCGGGGAAGTCTTTCTTACCCCTGCGCTGGGCGGTGGTCACCATGGATTCCTTTTGGGCTGGGGAGGGGTCCTGAGCTCCTGGACAGTGCCGGGTCGTTGGTCACTGGAGGAGTCCCTTCTGCCGATCAATTTGTTAGAACTTCGGGCGATTCGTGTGTCTCTTCTTCATTGGGAGGGTCATCTTCAGGGCCTGTAGGTTGAGTTCAGTCAGACAACGCCACAGCCATGGCGTACATCAACCATCAAGGTGGCACAAAAAGCGTGGGCGCAAGTGGGGAGGTGGCCTGGATTCTCTCTTGGGCAGAGAATCAGGTTCCGGCTCTTTTCGCGGTATACATTCTGGGAGTGGACAATTGGCAGGCCGACTACCTCAGTCGCAAGACGATGGACTCGGGAGAATGGTCTTTGAATTTGGACTGTGCATTTGATTGTTCTGGTGCCCTCCTTGGAGAGGTTCAAAGGGTTCTATTGAAACCTGTTTACCGTGCCCAAGAAAGAGGGGGTTCATGATCTTTCATGAGCTCTGTCTTCGCTGGGGGATGCCGAATGGGGATCTCCTGGCGTCTTGTCTCAACCAGAAGGTGGATCGGTTCATAGCCCGGGCCCAGGATCCTCGGGCGGGGACAGTGGATGCCCTGCTGGCCTCCTGGGATCCTTACGGTCTAATTTATGCCTTCCCCCCACTATATAACTTTTGCCACGTCTTTTACGCAGGATAGCAGCCCAAGGCACAGTCATCCTCGCACCCCCAGTTTGGCCACGGAGAGCGTGGTAGGCGGACGTGGTTGGGTTGGTCGTGAACGTCCCTTGGCGGCTGCCAGTGCGTCCGGATCTTCTATCCCAGGGGCCCGTGTTTCACCCTTCTTTACAATTGCTGGCTTTAAGGACGTGGCTGTTGAGAGCCAGGGGTTGAAGGACCAGGGGTTGTCGGATGCAGTTATATCCACGATGCTCAGGGCCCGCAAAGCCGCCTCCTAGGACAATTTACCATGGCACGTGGAGGGCTTACTTTGCCTAGTGTGAAGCTAGGGGTCCTTCTAAGCGTTTGTTCTCAGTGAGCAGGAACTTGCATTTCCACGACGCGGAGTGGCTCAAGGTTTGGCCTTGAGCACCGTGAAGGGTCAACTTTCTGCCCTGACTGTGCTTTTTCAACAGCCCTTGGCGTCTCATGCCTTTGTTTGCACCTTTGTTGAGGGGGGTTACGCATATTGCTCTTCCTGTCCAGTTGCCCTTGACACCCTGGGACCTAAATTTGGTGCTCTTGGTTAATCCACATTCTGAGCGATTGAGGAAGATTCCGCTTCTGACCTTGTCCCAAAAAGTGGCCTTTTTGGTGGCGATCACTTCCGTTAGCAGGGTTTCTGAGCTGGCCGCCTTGTCTTGCAAGTTCTTCATAGAGACAAGGCTGTTCTGCGTCCTAGGCCATCCTTCCTACCTAAGGTTGTGTCGGCGTTTCATCAATAATGATCTGTTCTACTGAGTGTCTAAAATTCGGGGAGAAGTTGTGGAACAGTTGCCGGTACCCCAGCCCTAATGGTGAAAGGTGCTAACACAATGATGCCCTAGGAGGTCACCTGGGAGTGGAGAAAACCGAGGCATGGATAACAGACTGGTTTTACTGGCCTGGGATCAGCACCGCAGTTAAGAGGAACTGTTCGTCCTGCCCTGTTTGCCAGTTGACCGCCCCAGCACCACATTATAGGAACCCCCTGGTTCCTCTGCCAATAATTGAGGTACCCTTCAAGCGCATAGCAATGGACATAGTGGGTCCCCTAGAGAAGTCCGCTCGGGGACACCAATATATATTCTGGTGGCTCTCAAAGATGCCACAAGGTATCCAGAGGCGGTTCCGAGAACACACCTGTTTTCGAGAACCCGCCTGCCAAGGGCAATTTTGATGGACCAAGGGACCCCGTTTATGTCCCAGGTGATGGCAGATGTGTGCAATCTATTCCTTATCAAGCAGCTGCGAACATCTGTTTATCACCCCCAGACAGATGGGCTGGTCCAAAGATTTAACAAAACTCTGAAGATGATGCTCAAAGGGGTTATACAGAAAGGTGGAAAAGACTGGGATTACTTACTTTCAGCGCTCCTGTTTGCCATTCGGGAGGTCCCTCAGGCGTCCACTGGGTTCTCACCTTTTGAGCTGGTGTATGGACGGAGGCCCCAGGGATTACTGGACTTGGTGAAGGAGACGTGGGAAAGCGAGTCTTCTCCACATATAACAGTAGTTGAGCATATCTCTCAGATCTTAAAGGTGATGCCTTAAGGAACATCTTCAGAGGGCCCAAGAAGAGGGTATACAACCGGTCAGCCAAACTAAGACAATTTCAGGTTGGGGACCAGGTGGCAGTGCTGATACCCATAGTAGAGAGTTAGTTTCTGGCTAAATGGCAGGGACCATATGAGGTGGTCAAGAAGGTAGGGGAAGTAAATTACCAACACATCAGCCCGGAAAAAGGAAACCCTACCAGATTTACCACATAAACTTGTTAAAACCCTGGAGAGAGCGGTAGCAAGTATCTGCCGTAATTGGGGTGAGTGTAGATTCTGCAGTTGTCGATTTGGTACACATTGCTACCACCCTGTCCAAACCCCAGACCCAAAACTTGAAATCATTTCTGCAGAGAAATAAAGACATGTTTTCAGGGCTGTCTGGATGCACATCTGTAATTAAGCATAATATTGTGACAGATTCCTACGTAAAAGATCGGGTGTAGCCGTACCGCATCCTAGAAGCCCATAGAAAGGCTGTTTCCGAAGAGGTTCGGAAAATGCTCGAGCTGGATGTCATCGAAGAGTCGCAGAGTGCATGGTCGAATCCCATCATGTTGGTACCAAAACCCAATGGCACTCTGTGATTCTGCAATGACTTCAGGAAGCTCAATGAGCTGTCAAAGTTTGACACGTATCCTATGCCCCAGGTCGATGAATTAATAGAGAGGTTGGGACCTGCCCAGTATATCACCACCCTGGATCTTACAAAGTGGTACTGGCAGATACCCTTACCCTTAACCAAGGAAGCCAGTGAGAAGACAGCTTTTTCCATCCCTGAGGGTCACTTCCAATATAAAAGAATGCCTTTTGGGTTACACTCTGCCCCGGCCACCCTTCCAAAGGGCAATGGATAGGACACTCCACCCTCACCTGAGATATACCTCAGTCTTACTGGATGACATTGTCATCTTCAGTACAGATTGGGAGTCCCATCATCCCCGGGTTCAGGCTGTGTTAGAGGAAAGGAGGGTTTACTCTTAACCCAAAGAAGTGTGCGATAGGGATGGAAGAGGCCAGGTACTTGGGATATGTTCAGGTCTGGTGAAACCGCAAATTAACAAAGTGGAAGCCATTCAGACTTGGCCTCGCCCCCTGATGAAGAAACAGATTTGTGCTTTTCTGGGAATAGTTGGGTATTATTTGCGGTTTGTCCCTAATCTTGCCTCTGTTGCGGCACCACTGACTGACCTGATGAGAGGCAGGCAGTCAGGGATAGTTCCATGGAGTGCTGAACAAGCCTTTGTGAAGCTTAAAACGACATTGTGTCAGCAGCCGGTGCTGGTAGCGCCAGATAACAAAAGAGAGTTAATTGTCCAGACAGATGCCTCGAGTGAGGGTTTAGGTGCCGTGCTGTCTCAAGAGGTCAATGGGGAGGAACACCCTATAGTTTTTCTTAGTAGGAAACTGGTGGCAGCAGAGAAAAACTATGCTGTGGTCAGGGCCGGATTTACTCTCCCTGCCCCCCCAAGCCCAGGTTGTGCAATACGCCCTCACCCATCAATGGAGAATGGCAAACAGATGGCAGGGCGGCGGAGTTAGTTTCAATTTTTTTACTGTTTCTTTATTTTTTTAATCTTTTTTAACACTTTTCTTTATTTGTTTCTTATTATTTTCTACTTTTTAATCACCTTTTTATTTATTTTCATATTTTTTAAAATTATTTATTAAAAAAATGTAACTCAATTTAATTATTTTTTTTCACCTAACTTTATTGCTATGACACAGGAGAAAATAATCCCCTGTGTGATAGCAATTGGAGGTGACAGGTTCTCTTTATTGACCCTGTCACCTCCAATACAGGAGTTCTAGCACAGCACTGTGACAGGGGAGAGAGGAAGAGCACAGCTCTCCCCTCTCACTGTCTACACGGAGCGGCAGGGTTACTTTTAACCCTGCCGCTTTGCTCCCTGCAGTGAGGAGAGACTTGGCGACGGAGCCAGCAAGGAGAGAGGTAAGTGCAGGGGGGAGGGGGCGAGGCTGCAGACTTTTTACATGTGATCTCGGCGACATCGCTGAGATCACATGTAAACGAACAATCGGCTTCCCTCACTCTACTTTTAGTCCTGCTTGTGCAAAGCAGGACTAAATGTAGAGAGGGCAACTTACCGCCCGGAACTTCCCCACAAGGACAACGCTGCCGCCCCGAGGCTGGGCCTCAGTGGCCTTGTGGGGAATCCGGGCCTGGCTGTGGTAGAGCGAGAGTGTTCAGCCCTAAAATAGGCCTTAGATTCTCTGAGGTATTTCCTGTTAGGCAGGAAATTCCGTTTGGTGTCTGACAATGCCCCATTGACCTGGATGAGACAGAACAGGCACACTAATGCCAGAGTGACGAGGTGGTTTCCCTCCAAGAGTTCAACTTCAAGGTAGAACAC